AATATAGGAAAGCTAATGCTCTGATGGTCATTTGGAAAAATCCTTTCTTAGCGAACACCTAGAAGCCAAGAGGAACGTACATGCCAAATTTCAAGTTTGTAGGCTTTACCAAACTATATGGTTGGGCTTAGTTTTTTGGGAGGAACAATTTGTGCCTCTGCCTACCAGCATCCATTGGTTTTCATCTGGCTAGCACCTTGTGAGAGTTGAGGGCTGTTTGGAAAGTAAAACATTATTCGCTTTGTGAGCAAGGAGACAGCAAGGAGCCTGGGCGTGGCTTAGCTCAACTGTTCTGTACTAAAGCTGCTTGCTGCTGTGAAACTGAACCTCCTCTCCTCTGCTTGTGTTTTACATTTGGAAGGGATTTTTTTTTCAGGTGGGGAGGGGGAGTAGAACTCCTTAGCATCAGAGCGTGTTAATAATAATAATATACGAAATACGAATGCTCTGATGATCATTTAGAAAAATCCTTTCTTAGTGAGCACCTAGAAGCCAAGAGGAACATACGTGCCAAATTTTCAAGTGTGTAGGGTTTACGGTTCTGGAGATTTTGTGATGATGCATGAGGGGCATTTTGCTTTTATCTATATAGAAGATAGAAGTTGGATAGATACTTCAACTGGCCAGAAGGATGTCACAGAGAAGGAAATCAATTTTTGATTTACAGGTTTGATGGAAAGGAGGCAAGGCCCAAACAACCCTTAGGGAGAACTTCCAGACTGTTAAGGGCAGCAGAAGCAAGGATCTAGAAAAACCCTGGGTTTCCCTTTCGTGGCATGGGATCGAACAAAGATTAGGCAGCCATCTGTCAGGGGGTCTTTAATTTGGAATCAAGTACTGACTAAACTCAAGTATCCTCTTAAAAGTCTAGGACTGCATAGGAGGAGGGGAAAAAAACCCTAATTAGTCTGGGGGATTTACTTGATGAAGTTGTTAATTGATCCAGAAATTAAACAATGCAACAGATATAAGATATAGAAGAGGTATTTAACAGAGCTGTACAGGTAACAGTTCATTCAGTGACCGTTCAAAGTTACAACAGCACTGAAAAAAGCGACTTACGACCGTTTTTCAGATTATGACCGTTGCTGCATCCCCGTGACCGTGTGATCACAATTCAACTGGCAACTGACTCGTATTTATGACGGTGGCCGTGTCCCGGGGTCACGTAATCCCCTTTTGAGACTTTCTGACAAATCAAGTCAAGGGGGAAGCCAGATTCACTTAACAACCATGTTACTAACTTAATGACCGCAAGCAATTCACTTAGCAACGGTGGCAACAAAGGTTGCAAAACGAGGGGGGGGGGAGAAAGCGAATATCTTGCTTAACAACGTAAATTTTGGGCTCAACTGGGGTTGTATGTACAGGAAATGGAAGATAGGAAAAAGGAAATGGAAGCAGGATCAGAATGGCAGGGAATCAGGATGATGAGGGGACTGGAGGCTAAAACACACAATGAATGGTTGCAGGAACTGGGCTTGGCTAGTCTAGTAAAGAGAAGGACCAGGGGAGACAGGAGAGCAGCCTTCCAGTATTTGAGGGGCTGCCCCAGAGAGGAGGAGGGGGTCAAGCTATTCTCCAAGGCACCCGAAGGCCAGACAAGGAATAATGGATGGAAACTGAACAAGGAGAGATTCAACCTGGAAATAAGGAGGAATTTTCTGACAGTGAGAACAATCAACCAAATCCGAAACCTTATTCCCTGGTGTTTATCTCCAGAGGCCTGCCTGTATTGTAGAGAAAAGTAAAGTCCTACACTTAGGCAAGAAAAACCAAAAGTACACATATAGACTGGGTGAAACCAGGTTCAATAGCAGGAACTGTGAGTGGGATCTTGGGGTCTTAGTGGACAACCAGCTAAATATGAGCCAGCCGTGTGCAGCAGCCGCCAAAAAAAGCCAATGCAATCCTAAGTTGCATTAACAAAGGGATACAATTGAGATCAAGGGAGGTACTAATACCACTCCGTAAAGCCTTAGTAAGGCCACACCTAGAATACTGCATCGTTTTGGTCACCACAGATGTTGAGACTCTGGAAAAAGTACAGAGAAGAGCAACCAGGATGATTAGGGGACTGGAGACTAAAATATATAATGAATGGTTGCAGGAACTGGGCCTGGCTAGTCTAGGGAAGAGAAGGACCAGGGGAGACAGGATAGCAGCCTTCCAATATTTGAGGGGCTGCCACAGAGAGGAGGAAGGGGTCAAGCTATTTTCCAAGGCGTCCAAAGGCCAGACAAGGTATAATGGATGGAAACTGAACAAGGAGAGATTCAACCTGGAAATAAGGAGGAATTTTTTGACAGGGAGAACAATCAACCCATGGAACAGAAGTTGCCTTCGGAAGTTGTGGGAGGCTTTCAAGAAGAGACTGGACTGCCATCGATCAGAAATGGTGTAGGGTCTCCTGCTTGGGCTTGGGGGTTGGACTAGATGACCTACAAGGTCCCTTCCAAATCTGTTATTCTATTAAATCTGTTGAACTTCGACAAGATAGAAATGTCATCTTTCTAAATCAAAACATCTCATCTTTCTGCTTCTAGAAAAACAGAGATTCCCTACACCTTTCAGAGTCCACCATAATCCTGGGATGGTAGCTCCCATCTTCCCAATCCGTTGGCTTTCTGTGGCCAGGCTGAAACCTTCTCCAAAGTTCAGGCCACAGACATCTTCCTTCCCCAACCAAGTGCTCTGCAGAAGCCCTGGAGTAGCATGTTGATTGGAGGATTTTGAGTATTGTGGCTTCCACCCACCTCTGAAGAACCCCTAACTGAAAAACAGCCCACTGCGGAGATAAAAACTGCTGTGTTTCCCCCCCAAAATAAGACCCTGTTTTATATTATTTTGAGCCCTGAAATAAGAGCTTGGCCTTATTTCTGGGGAGGTCTTATTTTGGGGAAAACACAGTTAGAAACTGAATTCAGTTCAGCTGCTCCTGTGTAATTTCAGAAGAGAAGACGCAACATGGACGTTTGGCTTAAGGAACAGGCAGGTTTTTCAAGGAACAAATCACAAATCTAAAAGTTTCTTCCGCAAGCCTTCATTCCTGGCAGGAACCAAGTCACCAGCACGTCTCTGGCTGTTGTCCTGCATGTGCCTCAGCTGAGGGTGGCACTCCAAGATAAGCTCACAGAGTTCCTGGTGCCCATTCTCTGCTGCCTGGAGAGAGAGAGAGAGAGAGAACCATCACAGTGGAGCAAGAGAAAACCCTTTGTTATGGCCCGCCAGCAGCAGACTGGGACAGTGAGGTGGTTGGGCAGGAACATGGGCCGGTCCTGGAGTCTGGGGAAGGCTCTGATGAGGGCTCTGTGTCAGAGGCAGAGATGGGGCCAGGGCTGTCTGACAGTAATCAGCTGCCTTCAGAGTCAGACATCAGGGAGGAAGAAGAACAGCTGGAGCCTGTTCCCAGAGTGCGCATGCACAGAGCTGCCGGAAGAAGGGAACAGCTAAGGAACAAGGGTCGACTCGGGAGTAAAACCACAGGTGGACGGTGAATGGCCCATCTCATAGGGAATAAAGAGGAGCAAAAGGGGAATGGGGTTTGCAGGAGACAATTAGTTCAATTCATTAGGGCAGTGGCCCCAAACCTTTTTTGTGCCACGGCCCGGTACCGGCATCACAAAATGATCCGCGGCCCGGTACCGGCATCAGCACGCATGACAAGGCAAGGCGAGCCGAGCGACCGGCCAGCCAGCCGTCCCCCGCTTCTCCCCGCCACCTTCAACTCCTCCTTTGTACCTTTTTTGTGCTTTTTTGTGCTTTCTTAATCTCCTCCGCCATCGGGACGGTTCTTCGTTCAAAGCCGCCCCCCCCCTCGATGAAATTAAGGCGCAAGGATTCCTTCAGGACCCAAACGCCGCTTTCCAACCGGAAATGCTCACCCGGAAGCACTTTCTCATCGAAACAAGATGGCAGCGCCCAGCAAACCGGCGGCCCGGTAGAAAATGATCCACAGACCGGTACCGGTCCGGGGCCCGGTGGTTGGGGACCCCTGCATTAGGGTAAAGATCTGTTTCTGACCACTTGCCAAGTATTGTCTGCTACAGAGTGGCATTTGGAAGATATCAGCCTGGCAACTCTCCAAGCCTGATAAAGGTCTGTAATTGGGAAATATCTTGAAAGACTGTTGGCCAGGACTTTGCTGGAGGGGAATTCACTGTAAACTAAATAAAAGGGGTTTATCGGGATGAAGGCTTTGTGCTGTTGGGAAAGTCTAGATCAGAAAAGCCATCCCATGGCCTGTCTCCCTTGACCAACTGAGCAATGGAGGTGGTTTAGCGGTGGGGGAAGATGATGGAAGAGAAGGAAGCGAGGGAAGAATTGTCTTACAAACAACACTCAACTGCATGTTGAGTCCTGGGTGATAGGGATGGAGACTCAAAGCTTAGCCTGTCAGAGGTCTCCAAACTTGGAACTTTTAAGACTTGTGGACTTCAGAACAAGCCAAAGAAACAATGATTGTATGGGCAATTTTTTGGGGGGTTATACTATAGAATTGGATAAATGGCAAAAAAACCTTTGGGATAGGAACTATAAACTGACAACGGCTACTGCATATAAGGAAAATCTCTGTAAAATGTTTCATAGGTGGCACTTGCCACCGGCAAGACTGGCAAAAATATTTAGCATTATGTCCGCCAAATATTGGAAGTGTAATCAGGTACTTATTATCATATGTGGTGGACTTGTATGAAAGCAAGAAAATAATTGCACGACAATACATACTTTGTTGGAAAAGATGATCGAGCACCAAACATACAGTTCTGAAACCAGAAATATTTTTGTTGGGTATTATGCCGGAGGGCTATGATAAAAGGACTATATATTTAGTTTTGCATGTATTGACAGCTGCAAGGATTGTATTTGCATAATACTGGAAAAATGAGAACACTCCATCAAATGAGGATGTAATTAGGAAAATATTATATGTGCAGAGATGGACAGATTGACATTAATAACAAAGGACAAAGACGCAGAATATTACTTAACATGGAACAGATTTTATGAGTGGTTAGAGATAAAAGGTAGAAATTAGATGAATGAAAGATTATTGCTATGTATGAATTAAATATAAAGATGGTTTAGAATTATAAATATGACAATATAATCAACAGAATTACAAGTGAGCTAATACAAAGAGAAATCTAGTTAAAACTATCCTTACACTATTGTTATTAGTATATGTGTTAATATTCTTTTTTGTTCTTTCTTTACTTTTTTGTAAATGATATGCCCTGACAATACACTGTATTCAAAATGTTTATGAATTAAAAAAAATATACTAAAAAAAAAAAGACTTGTGGACTTCGATTCCCAAAATTCCCTAGCTGGCTGAGGAATTGTGGGAGTTGAAAGTCCACAAGTCTTTGTGGAGTAAGCCAAATTCCTAAGTATTTAATTTCTTTTTGTCACCTGTATTCCCATTATTGTCTCTAGTTCTTTATTCTGGTCTCCTGTTAAATTTTTAGACATTAATTTCGTTTTTCCCCTATTAATTTTAAATCCTGCGACTTCTCCAAATCGTTCTAGTTCTTCTAATAAGTTATGTCCTTTTTCTATGGGCACCTCCAGAAAGAAAACCAAATCATCAGCGAAGGCTTGTACTTTATACTCTTCTGATTTAATCCTCAGTCCTCTAATTCTCGAATTTTGCCTAATATACGTCAAGAGATTCTAGGGCGAATATGAAAAGCAGAGGAGAGGGAGGGCAACCCTGTCTTATCCCTTTTTCTATTTTTATCGGGCCAGTTTGTTCCCCATTTATTAGAATATTTGCCTGTTGGGTGTGGTAAATTGTAGTGACGACGTTTTTGAATCTAGTGCCGAGATTCATATTGTATATTTTTTGAATTAAAAAATGCCAATTTAAAATGTCGAATGCTTTTTCAGCGTCCAAAAACATAAATGCAAATTGTTTTTCCGGATGGGCTTCATAGTATTCTGAAATGTCTATCACTGTTCTTAAATTATTCTTAATTTGTCGAAATGGGATAAATCCATTTTGATCTTCATGGATATGTGTGTTTAGAACCTGTTTTAGTCTATTGGCTATTATAGAAGAGAATAGTTTGTAATCTGCATTCAGGAGCGAGATTGGTCTATAATTATTAATAAGTCTATGGTCTAGGTCCTCCTTCGGGATCAGCGAAATTAAGGCTCTCCTCCATGAGTCCGGCATCTTGGCTGCTAGGAGTACCTCATTGAATACTTCCAGCATCAGTGGTCCAATTTGTTCTATGATTGTTTTGTAAAGTTCTACAGGTATCCCGTCCGGTCCTGGCGCTTTATTGTTACTTTGCTTCTCTATTGCTGACTTCAGTTCGGACCATGTTATATTTTTGTTTAATAATTCTATCTCTTCCTCTCCAATTGCTTTTTCGTTCGCTTCCTCTAGGTATTTCATTATTTTGTCCTCACAGACTTCTTCCTTTTTGTATAATTTCCCGAAGTATTTAAAAGTGATCTCTTTTTTCTTCTCTATCTCCTCTTGCAAATTGCCCCTCTTGTCCATTAATTGGTGTATCAATCTTTTTTCTTTCATTTTCTTAAGTTTGTGGGCTAACCATCTCCCTGGCTTGTTTGCATGCTCAAAATAAATTTGTTTAGTCATTTTCAGGCATTTCCTTACTCTTCCCTTTTTCCTCTCTTAGGCTTTCCTCTCTTTCCCTCTTGGCCTATGCTAAGGCCTGTTTGTCTTTTTGTTGTACATAACTGGTAGTTGTGTTGTTCTTTTAAAGGTAAAACTAATAAAGTATTTTTTCAAAAAAAGAAAGTCCACAAGTCTTAAAAAGTTCCAAGTCTATGTGATCTCAAACCTGTTCAGATACGATTCCAGCTCAACTCTCCAAGGGTTATAGAAGAAGCTGCCTTGTCCCATCTCAGGCTATTAGTAAATCTACCTCCTGATGATTAAGCCTGAGTGTTTTTTTTCCAGCATAGCCTGGAGGCCCTTCATCTTGTGAAACACACCAGAACCTTCCTATCTTCCTTATCCATTGGGGCAGAGGACAATCTCCTATCCCAAGCCAAAATCACTGGCTCATCCAATATTTTCTACGGCTGGGATAACAAAACAATAGCAGTTAGACTTATATACTGCTACGTAGTGCTTTACAATATTCATAGAGTGGTGTACAATCTCACCATTTGGCCCCAACAATATGGGTCCTCATTTTACCGACCTCAGAAGAATGGTAGACTGAGTTAACCTTGAGCTAGACAGGATCAAACTGCTGGCAATGGGCAGAATTAGCCTGCAATACTGCATTCTCACCACTGAGAGAGAGTGAGGGAGGGAGGGAGGGAAGGGAAGGGAAGGGAAGGGAAGGAAGGAAGGCAAGCAATAACAATAGCAATAGGCCGTAGACTTATATACCACTTTACAGAGTCTAAGCAGTTTATAGAGTCAGTTTATTGCCCCAAACAGTCTGGGTCCTCATTTTTCCGACTTCGGAAGGATGGAAGGCTGAGTCAACCTTGAGTTCTGTAAAGGATCGAACTCTAGACTGTGGGCAGAGTCAGCCTGCAATACTGCATTCTAGCCACTACGCCACCGTGGCGCTATACTGCCTCACAATGCTTCACAGCACCTTCTGGCTGGTTTAACAATTTCACCCTATTATCCCCAACCATCTGTTTAGAGAAGAGGGCGGGAGAGCACTGGGGCTGTCCTGCACACACACACACACACATTTGCACACCTTGTGGAGGCAGGTCTTCCCATCGTCATCCTTGGCAGCCGGATCAGCTCCGTGGTCCAGCAGCAGCTTGACTATTGCTCTGTGACCACAGTAAGCCGCTCGATGCAGCGGGGTGGCCCCGCCATGGGTGCGGACATTGCAGGAGGCTCCATGGCCCAGGAGGAAAAGGCAGGTGTCATAATGCCCGTTGCGACTGGCGTAGTGCTGCGGAAACAGGAAAAGGGGTCCTTTTGTGGCACCTCAACTTCCCACCGAAGCAGACGGCATGCCTGGCAGTTGAGGATTCATGCATAATATCCTCTGAGTCACCGGGACCTGGATTATGGAACGCACCTGTTTTCTGGAGTCACCTGCCACATCCACTGATGTCATAAATGAATCAAAGCACAAGCTTAGATGGGTTTACACAACCCCCCAAGTTCTCTCCTTGATCAGTTTCCATCTATTGCTTCTTGTTTGCCTTCTGGTGCTTTGGAAAATACATTGCCCCCCACCCCACTTCTCTCTTTCTAGCAGCCCCTTAAAAGCCTGTTGCCCACCACCCTTGGGCAAAGCATGTGAGCCATTTCCTCCTTTCAGTGGTCCGTGAAAGGATACCTGTAGTACGTAGATAATAAAGTCAAAAAAAAAAGGTGATCAACATTTTTACAGAACTACACAGATAAGTTGAGGCTGGGTGTGACAAGGAATGGCTGGGAGGGGAGGGGCCAGGCGAGGCACCCCTTGACGTGAGTGACATTGAGCTGGCCACGCCCACCCAGTCACGTGACCAAGCCATGCCTGCCCAGTCACATGACCACCGTGCACACTCGCGTGACCAAGTCACGTGACCACTGAGCCACGCCCGCCCAGTCACATGACCACCAAGCATGCCCACCCCCAGTCACATGACCACCAAGCCATGCCCACCCAATAAGCCACGCCCACAGAACCAGTAGTAAAAAAAATTGAATTCCACCATTGCTCCAATTCTGTTAATCATCCTGGTTGCTCTTTGCTGCACTTTTGCTAGAGTCTCAACATCTTTTTCATAAAAGTGGAGTGACCAAAACTGGATGCAGTATTCTAGGTGTGGTCTTACTAAGACTTTTTTTAGAGTGGTATTAGCACCTCTCTTGATCTTGATTGAATCCCAACTTAGGATTGCATTGACTTTTTTGGCTGCCACTGCACACGTGCTGGCTCATATTTAGCTGGTTGTCCACTAAGACTCCAAGATCCCCCTCCCAGTTCCTGCTATTAAGCCTGGTTTCCTCCAGTCTATAGGTGTGCTTTTGGTTTTTCTTGCCTAAGTGTAAGTCTTTACTTTTCTCTACCTCGAATTTCATTTTGCTAGATAGAGCCCCGTGTTAGGGTTAGTTAGATTAATATGAAGTTAAATGAATACAAAGTTAAGACTAGCACAAGGTAACTAAACAGCCTTACTGTCTTTGGATCAATTTCATTAACTTCCATAGTTTGTTTCCATGTCAAGAACCTGTCTCCATAAAATCTAAACAGTTCAAGGCTAAGAGGTACAAAAGGGACCAGGAGATTTACATTTTCTCTTAGGAAGCTGTTTATAATTTGCTTCTTTTCTTTGGTGTCCGTCCCACAATCCAGACCAAATAGTTTGGGGGTCCAAGCAAGCCAATACCTTTCTAACAGCAACATCCCGATGGTGAAATTTCCTCTGGTGCTTGCTTTATCATCCTTTAGACCCGGGGTAGCACACATGAGAAACTGGGCTTATTATGGGCTGGACAGGGACAGCCAAAGGGGGTGGCCCAAAGGCCGAAAAATGCCCAGATCTGGTTTAAGACAGTCAAGAAAGGTTGAGTTATTTCATTTACCTATTCATGATGTTAAGAGAAATGTTTCACTCCTGCTTCTATTGTCCTGACATCATGAAATTTGCTTTAAAGGACTATTGCCTTTATCGGAATATTGTTATGTAACTTGATGGAGGCAGAAAAGCTGGCAATGCTTTAAGAGCAGCGTTTGGCAACTTCAGCTGGTTTAAGATGTGTGGGCTTCAGCTCCCAGAATTCC